CTAATTTCTTTAGATTTTGTTTCTAATTTTCAAAGAAAAATTCCATTTTACAGTTTTTTTAAGATTTATTTTTTTTTTGTTACATATAAAAACAAAATCTTCTTAAATTAAGAATTTTATTTATTCCTAAATTTTGAAATAAATTGTCCTGCTTAGCGTGAAATGATTCGGAAGGAAATTGAACATAATTTTTAACAAAAAAAAAAAACTAAACTGTATCTAACCTTAATAACGTTGTCTACCGCCGCCAGAATAACTGCCAGGTGGTGGAGGTTGATAGTAGCCACCACCACCCCTACTGGGAGGAGGAGGATTAGTATCAACTCCAGGTGGTGGTGGCGGAGGAGCACCACCACCTAGTGATACTCCCGGTGGCATAGGCGGTGGAGCACTGGCATAGTGTGAGGGGCCACCATAAGGTGGCAAAGAACCATAGGGCATCATGGGAGGCGGTAGTGGTGGTGGTATAACAGCGGGACCTGAATTAGCACCTGGTACGGAGGGCACATAGCCGGCACCGGGTGGTGGTGGAGGGGCTGTTTGATACATTGCATGCATAGGATGACTGGCCATGGCTTGAGGAGCGGCCGAGTACATATGATGGGCTGAGTGATGATGTGGTGGAACATGATGATAACTAGCCGCCGCTGAAGCCACATGAGAGGCAGGATGTTCTAAAGGCGTGGGAGCTGGTACTGTGGTAGCGGTAGCCGGTCCTGAGGAAATTGTTTTTATACTTTGTATATTATTGGGTTCATTAAGTGCGGTCATAGAATTGGAATTTGTTGCGATCTTCGTTTTACCCGCTGGAGACCCCGAATGATTGGCCAAGGGCAAAGATTTCATGGGCGTGGGGCTATCAGCCCGACTGGGTGGCTTCTGAGGAGGACTATTACTTTCGGTGGTATCTTTGGAATTTGTTTGATATAAATCTAACACTTGATGGCAAATATCCTCCAGAATATCCATGGTAACATCAGAGACAAACATATCCCACCAGCGTGTATGATGCGGTTGTCTACCCACCCAATCGACTACGGTAAACTTGCTTAGTTTCGAGGCTAAGTAGATTAAAGCCACCGCTATAATTTCCGGTTCCCATTGTAAGCACACCACCGTGCTAAGCGAATCATTGACAAAATTCCAAGCCATTTGCACCATTTTCTGTAATTTCTGTTGATCGCCCTTAAAACATTTGGCATAGCGCAAGAGAAAGGAATAGGGATGCTCCACTTGTAAATCAAACTTAATGGTTTGTAAAAGAATACGTTCCAAAGTAATCACCTCCTAAAAAAATAAAGAAATTTGCACAGAATTAATAATTAAGGATTAAACCTAAGGACTGAACTTACCTCTTTTGGTTCTTTGCCAAAAGAATAAAAATGATTATCGGTCAGCAGCTGACGGGCTATCATTATTATATCACGACATTTCTTTGGTGTTTCCTCCACTTTACCGGCTAGCAGCAGACAACAGCAAGCGGTCACATAGCGTGGAAAATGTTTAAACGATTGAAACATATAGAATCTATGAAAATAAACCACACCCGTGGCCATGGTATTATGACCCAAACCCATTTGTGTGCCACAGGTCATTATAAAGCGAGCGCCCTCTTTACGATAGCGGCGCTCCGTCTCCAATGGTATGCCATCACGCACTGAGGGAGTATCACGTAATTCATTTTTATCATAATACCAACAGGGCATCTTCCTTTAAACTATAAATTTTCTGCAAAAATTCTGTGGATTCTTTTCTAAAAAGAATTGTTTACAATTTTGTTGTTGTTTTTTTCACTTTCTGCCTTTTCTTTTGCCAGTAGTCTCAATAACAAAGTTACACGTTCTTATTATTTTTTTGCCGATATCTTTTCCGTAAGCAAATTGTATTTGCTTAGAGAATTTTCTATATTAAATAATTATATTACAGTTGAACTTAATTATTTTATTAAAATATTTTATATAATTGGCGGTTGTTTAATAATTTTCTTATTTTTTCTACAATAAAATGCCGAACTTAAAAAAATTTTATGTTTTCTCTTTTTTCTTTTCCCATGAAATGTCAAAATATACTATTGTGAATCATTTGTATGTGTGTCAGCTAGGGAAAAACTATGTTTTACAAATACAGAGCTGTTTAACAATAACAAGTTACAAGAATATTTCTTTTATTAAATTACATAAAATTATTATAATTCAATATTTAAATTTGTATAATTTTATTTTCTCCAACAATTAAAATTTAAAATTGTTTATTTCTTGAGTTATATATGAAACTTATAATCTTATTTCGTTCTTCCCAGCTCTGTTATACATCAGCTCATTGTAAATGATAATTATGTTTTCCAGTTTGCTATTGTGACTGTTTGCATATATCGAAATGTCAGTTAAAAAAATAAGATTTTATTAAAGGATTTTCATAAATTGAAATATTTAACTATTATTATACATAAATTAATATCAAAACCGCTTAAATATGGAAATTAATCGCATTTATATTTGTTATCTAATAACCACCCTGCTAATAAGCATATTTGTTTATTCCCTTGTTTCCAGCAATTTGCAAAATATGAAAAAATTGGAAAGGTTAAGAGAAGAAGTAGATGATATAGCGGTAAGCTTTTTAAAAATATAAAGAAAATTGTAACCATATTAAAGTAAACATTGTGGCTAGCATTTAATTCTAGAAACTCCCTATAATGGTAAAACCGATTCGAAATATTTAACCGATTTAATAGACAACTTTATTAAAAAACGTTTGGCCGGCATATGGGATGATTTGTATTCGCTAAAGAAACAAATAAAATCGCGTGATTGTACGGCTACCTTGACGCAAAACTCCAAAAACCAGCAAAAAATGGAAGTAGCACAAATGGAGGAAAGGGTAAATTATGCTGCCGCAGAATTGGGAGCCAGAATTTGAATGTCAAAGCAGAACCCATATGTTCAGGCAATATTTTGAAAACCTGGTTGGGCATGGAGTTTAATACTAATCCTCCCATTAATATGTTACGCTCTACTATGGAACCTGGTAGTGTTTTGGTTTTAGAAACAATAAAGCTGAAGTTACACTAATATTGGCTAGGGAGGTAAGAAAACCCTATTTATATATAATTTCTCTAAAGGATTCAATACTTTTTATTTTAGGTGTTAATAGATCAATTTTTAATGCAACATATTACCAAAAAACAATCTCCTTCAGAGGATATTTCATCAGCTCCCAAAGATTTTCAAGTTTTTGTAAGATTCTTCCGGTTTCAAACTTTTCAATTTAATATTTTAATGTTTCATTCTTTAGGGCTTGCAAAATAATGATGAAGAATTTTATTTGGGTACTTTTAAGTTCGACAATAACCAACCTGTACAGTATTTCAATATAAAAACAAATGAAAGATTTCAAAATTTAAGAATTCAATTCGATTCCAATCACGGACATCCTAATTATACTTGTGTTTATAGGTAAGAATTTTAATATAGAAACGAACTAGAACAAATTTCCAAAATGTTCTTTTGATTTTTTTCTGTTTGTATTTTCCAGAATTGCTGTTTTCGGCAAATTGTAAAAGAATTTATTTTAAAATGTTTTTTGACATCTTATTATTGTACGAGAAGTTTTAAATGTTTCTTAATGCAAAGATATATTTTTAAATTATTTATTTATGAATTTATTAAAAATGTGTTTATATTTATGTTAAAACTATTTATTTGTTGTATAAATTTATTAAAAAACTTACTTAAAAATGTTTGTTTATTTGGTTGTTTGCGCTCAAATGCCAGTTGTTTTTTAACAAAAGGAAGTAATAATTTTTTGTTTTGTTTGGCAAAGAGAGAGATATGACAAGAGAGCTAAAAGTTCTAATGAGAAAAATAGCGGTTTTTTTGTTGAAAACACTTTTCTACAAGGCTGCCATATGCGGTCAACTTTTGCTATTTAGACGATTTAGTTACGCAAAGTTTTTAAAGGCAATGAAGGTAATTTTAATTAATTTTATGGCAAAACAAAAATTTTTTTGAAATAAATTTAATTATTTTTTGTTAAAGATGTTAAAGCTGTGTAAAATATCATTGTTTTTAATAAATTAAGCTTTGTACAACAAATAACAGCTGGCAACTTGGTTCACCTCTGTCTAATGTTTTTATTTTCTTTTTTTGTTTCTACTGTCAGTTTGTTATGTATACAAACAAAAACCGGACGTGTTTTTAAAAGGTAAAAACACTAGTTAGTGAGTGGTTTTAGAAAAAAAGAAATAAACAAATGAGTAATAAGTTGAAAAAATAAATACATAGCTAAATTAGTTTAATTGATAAAATATTATTAATTTTTTTTGTTTACACTCTGAGAGTGAACAGAGAAAGCTGTTATGTCAGAAAAAAAAAGAAATTTTTGTTTATATTTAAAAATGTACCTTTATAAATAATTATTAAAATAAAAGAGAGTACACAACAACAATTTTGTCATATACTAAAAGAGCGCAGTTACATTTTAACTCTTCACGGTGACACATCTCGGCTGCGGACGGGGCTAGAAATATTATAAGAAAATAGCAAAACATAATTGTTAAAGAATTATTAATCTTTAAGTTGTTTTTCTGTGTGTGTGTGTATAATAAGAAATAGAATACAAAAAAATCTTTTGTTAAAATTTACTTTATTTAAATTAATATAAAATTTTCCATTTAAATAAAAGAAATAATTAAACACAAGTGCAATTTGTAGCTGAAAATTCCCACACTAAAAACAAACAACAACAATTATACTACCACAAAAAAAACATAAACAAAGGTAGAGAAAACAAATTGTTTAATACAGAAAAAAAGCAAAAAGGAAGAGCAGAGGGGGTTAAAGAACAAGCAAAAGTAATAGAAATTTTTTTTAAGAAAAATACTACCTACTGCCTTGTAAAAAAAGAAAAACAACAATAGCCTAAACGTGTGTATTAGTATTTTGTTGTTGTTGTTGTTTAAAACAAAATACAACAAATTTTATTGATTGTATCTTAAAGAAAAATAACAAAAACCCCAGAAAAAATACTGAAAAAAACTCTCAAATTTAAAAAATATAATAATTAAAAAAAAGTGTTTAAAATTGTTTAAATATACTATACCTTCATAGGTAAAAAGCAAAGTGTTTTTTATTAAAAATAAAAACATACATAAAGAATCCCTTGAATAAAATTTAATACATTACAAAGAAGTAAATCCCTAAAAATGGTTTGCAAAAATTTCAATCCCCCGTCAGGGTTTATAAACATCCTTTCGAGTTGGTGATGAAGGTAAGTGTTTGCTCTATCTATACTTTTAGTTTTTAGAATGTAAAGTTTGCTTTTTTAAGTCACATTCATTATTTTTAGTTTAACAACAGGGATGAGCCCTAAAAGTAACAAATTGTACCAGACATGCCATGAAAAAGTACCAGATTTTTAAGTTTAATGTTCTATAAAGACTAGGTGGATAGATAGATAGATAGACAGATAGATAGATAGATAGATAGATAGATAGATAGATAGATAGATAGATAGATAGATAGATAGATAGATAGATAGATAGATAGATAGATAGATAGATAGATAGATAAGATAGATAGATAGATAGATAGATAGATAGATAGATAGATAGATAGATAGATAGATAGATAGATAGATAGATAGATAGATAGATAGATAGATAGATAGATAGATAGATAGATAGATAGATAGATAGATAGATAGATAGATAGATAGATAGATAGATAGATAGATAGATAGATAGATAGATAGATAGATAGATAGATAGATAGATAGATAGATAGATAGATAGATAGATAGATAGATAGATAGATAGATAGATAGATAGATAGATAGATAGATAGATAGATAGATAGATAGATAGATAGATAGACAGATAGATTCAGTTCTAGTTCAGTTCTAGTTCAGTTCTGGTTCAGTACTAGTTCAGTTCTAGTTCAGTCTAGTTCAGTTCTAGTTCAGTTCTAGTTCAGTTTCTAGTTCAGTTCTAGTTCAGTTCTAGTTCAGTTCTAGTTCAGTTCTAGTTCGTTCTAGTTCTAGTTTAGTTCTAGTTCAGTTCTAGTTCAGTTCTAGTTCAGTTCTAGTTCAGTTCTAGTTCAGTTCTAGTTCTAGTTCAGTTCTAGTTCAGTTCTAGTTCAGTTCTAGTTCAGTTCTAGTTCAGTTCAGGTCAGTTCTAGTTCTGGTTCAGTTCTAGTTCAGTTCTAGTTCAGTTCTAGTTCAGTTCTAGTTCAGTTCTAGTTTAGTTCTAGTTCAGTTCTAGTTCTGTTCTAGTTCAGTTTTAGTTCAGTTCTAGTTTCAGTTCTGGTTCAGTTCTAGTTCAGTTCTAGTTCAGCTCTAGTTCAGTTCTACTTCAGTTCTAGTTCAGTTCTAGTTCAGTTCTAGTTCAGTTCTAGTTCATTTCTAGTTCAGTTCTAGTTCAGTTCTAGTTCAGTTCTAGTTCAGTTCTGGTTCAGTTCTAGTTCAGTTCTAGTTCAGTTAGTTCAGTTCTAGTTCAGTTCTAGTTCAGTTCTAGTTCAGTTCTAGTTCAGTTCTAGTTAAGTTCTAGTTCAGTTCTGTTCAGTTCTAGTTCAGTTCTAGTTCAGTCTAGTTCAGTTCTAGTTCAGTTCTAGTTCAGTTCTAGTTCAGCTCTAGTTGAGTTCTAGTTCATTTCTAATTCAGTTCTAGTTCAGTTCTAGTTCAGTTCTAGTTCAGTTCTAGTTCAGTTCTAGTTCAATTCTAGTTCAGTCCTAGTTCAGTTCTAGTTCAGTTCTAGTTCAGTTCTAGTTCCAGTTCTAGTTTAGTTCTAGTTCAGCTCTAGTTCAGTTCTAGTTCGGTTCTCTATTTTTGATATAAATAATCCACATTCAAGAACAGGTTTATGTACTTTTCACCTCTGAACTTCTCCTTATAACTTATCTATAATACTACAAAAATTGTACACATCCACCAATATTTTCATCCCTGTTTTGAAAGTGTTTTGATGTGTTAGAATGTCTCATTGTAGGAATTCATGTTTTCTACACTCCTTTTTCCAACATTATTCGCCTTTTTTTTTGTCCTCTTGGGAAATTATAATAAATTTCTGTTGATTTTCTTTTAAAACTAGGTCTTTTGATTTTCTTGTATAAGTATTTTTTAATGTCTCCCCCGTGTAAGTAAAGGAATTTGAGGTTTAATAGTTTCATTTCTCTACAACATGTGTGTTTCAACATGTTTCTAAGTGAATGTTTTTCTTTTAGAATTTTATCAAAATAAAAAAAAATTTGTTATTTGGGTTAAAATGCTTTGAAAAGTGATTACTGTATGCGAAGCATACATACAGTGATTGTTGAGAGTTAAAAGTTTCCATGCTAATTAACAGGGGGTCTTAAGAGTTTATTAACATAAATTTAAATAAATAGAAAAAATGTAAAGTTTCGGAATACCCTATAGTGAGGAAAACAGTAGTTAATAGTTAACTATTATTTCAGTGTAAGTTCAGTTCTAATTCAGTTCTAGTTCAGTTTTAGTTTAGTTCTAGCTACAGTGTGGAAAATATAGTTTAATAGTTAGCTTCTATTTCAGTTCTAGTTACAGTTCAGTTCTAGTTGTAGTTCTAATTCAATTCTAGCCTCAGTTGTAGTTCAGTTCTAGTTTAGTTCTAGTTTCAGTTCTAGTTTAGTTCTAGTTCAGTTCTAGTTCAGTTCTAGTTCAGTTCTAGTTCAGTTCTAGTTCAGTTCTAGTTCAGTTCTAGTTCAGTTCTAGTTCAGTTCTAGTTCAGTTCTAGTTTCAGTTCTAGTTCAGTTCTAGTTCAGTTCTAGTTCAGTTCTTGTTCAGTTCTAGTTTCAGTTCTAGTTCAGTTCTAGTTCAGTTCTAGTTCAGTTTCTAGTTTAGTTCTAGTTCAGTTTTAGTTCAGTCCTAGTTCAGTCCTAGTTCAGTTCTAGTTCAGTTCTAGTTCGTAGTCAGTTCTAGTTCAGTTCTAGTTCAGTTTCTAGTTCAGTTCTAGTTCAGTTCTAGTCAGTTCTAGTTCAGTTCTAGTTCAGTTCTAGTCAGTTCTAGTTCAGTTCTAGTTCAGTTCTAGTTCAGTTCTAGTTCAGTTCTAGTTCAGTTCTAGTTCAGTTTCTAGTTCAGTTCTAGTTCAGTTCTAGTTCAGTTCTAGTTCAGTTCTAGTTCAGTTCTAGTTCAGTTCTAGTTCAGTTCTAGTCAGTTCTAGTTCAGTTCTAGTTCAGTTCTAGTTCAGTTCTAGTTCAGTTCTAGTTCAGTTCTAGTTTCAGTTCTAGTTCAGTTCTAGTTCAGTTCTAGTGTCAGTTCTAGTTCAGTTCTAGTTCAGTTCTAGTTCAGTTCTAGTTCAGTTCTAGTTCAGTTCTAGTCCGTCTAGTCAGTTCTAGTTCAGTTCTAGTTCAGTTCTAGTTCAGTTCTAGTTCCGTTCTAGTTCAGTTCTAGTTCAGTTCTAGTTCAGTTCTAGTTCAGTTCTAGTTCAGTTCTAGTCAGTTCTAGTTCAGTTCTAGTTCAGTTCTAGTTCAGTTCTAGTTCAGTTCTAGTTCAGTTCTAGTTCAGTTCTAGTTCAGTTCTAGTTCAGTTCTAGTTCAGTTCTAGTTCAGTTCTAGTTCAGTTCTAGTTCAGTTCAGTTCTAGTTCAGTTCTAGTTCAGTTCTAGTTCAGTTCTAGTTCAGTTCTAGTTCAGTTCTAGTTCAGTTCTATAGTTCAGTTTTAGTTCAGTTCTTGTTTTCTAAGCATCCTTCTGTGGACAGAAACTATACTTTTCAGTAACCCTTCCATAAAACAATATCCTGGCCTTACCATATGATTTATATTCCAATAAATATGAAAAATTTTTTTTTGGCACAGAGTTGCATATTTCAGCAGCCAATAACACTCAAGGTTAATTTCACACATGTGCTTAATCATCCTTGACTTTGATAACGAGAAATTCAAATATTTATTTTAGGGCGATTTGATGTAAAAAAAAACAACTAAATGTTTATAAACTAATATAAAAATTGCGTTGTGCTATTAATTAGACTCGTGATAAAATATTATCTAAATGATAATTGACAGTAGTAGAGTGTAAATAGATAAAATGCCAACAATTACAAACAAAAAAAAGAAAACAACAACAATTCAAAATATTCAGCATTTAACCTCTTCGATCAAACAGAGAAATATCGCACATTTTTGTAGCAAACATTGTACCTATTAGAAATTGTTTTATCTTCCACATGCAATCTATAAATATGATTATTATAAATATATTCTATTCAATAAGTTTTTAGTTTGTTTCTTGGTAATTTATTGCACGACAATATAATAAAATCCCATATAAGCAATAAGAAATACCTATGTATGTATATATCTCTTTATGACGATTTTGGGTATGAAAAAACATTGTAAGATCATTATTATTGCACTTTGTTGTGTCGTAAATATACATATATTCACTGAATATATTTTAATGATATAATAAACAGTATTTCCTGATTAAAATATTTTATATATTACATATGAAATATGTGATCGCAAGCCTTTTGGTAGATTACCCCGTTTATTGGGGTAATACAGAGGTGTGGTGAAAAGGGCATTAATTTACTCTATTTCTGCTATTTTAGTTCTAGTTCAGTTCAGGTTCAGTTCTAGTTCTGTTCTAGTTCTGTTCTAGTTCTGTTCTAGTTCTGTTCTAGTTCTGTTCTAGTTCTGTTCTAGTTCTGTTCTAGTTCTGTTCTAGTTCTGTTCTAGTTCTGTTCTAGTTCTGTTCTAGTTATGTTCTAGTTCTGTTCTAGTTCTGTTCTAGTTCTGTTCTAGTTCTGTTCTAGTTCTGTTCTAGTTCTGTTCTAGTTCTGTTCTAGTTCTGTTCTAGTTCTGTTCTAGTTCTGTTCTAGTTCTGTTCTAGTTCTGTTCTAGTTCTGTTCTAGTTCTGTTCTAGTTCTGTTCTAGTTCTGTTCTAGTTCTGTTCTAGTTCTGTTCTAGTTCTGTTCTAGTTCTGTTCTAGTTCTGTTCTAGTTCTGTTCTAGTTCTGTTCTAGTTCTGTTCTAATACTATTCTAGTTCTGTTCTTTTCTAGTTCTGTTCTAGTTCTGTTCTAATTCTGTTCTATTCTATTCTAGTTCTGTTCTAATTCTGTTCTAGTTCTGTTCTGTTCTTTTCTAGTTCTGTTCTAGTTCTGTTCTAGTTCTGTTCTAGTTCTGTTCTAGTTCTGTTCTAGTTCTGTTCTAGTTCTGTTCTAGTTCTGTTCTAGTTCTAGTTCTGTTCTAGTTCTGTTCTAGTTCTAGTTCTGTTCTAGTTCTGTTTTAGTTTTTAGTTCTGTTCTAGTTCTGTT